AAAATCTCCCCAGACTGAACCCTAGTTCCCAAGCCAGCCAGCCACAACACCGTGAATTCCTCAGGGAGGTGCCAGGCTCATCTTCTTGAACTTCCCACGCTCCTGCTGGCGGCTAAGAACACGCTTATTTCCCTGAGCCTGGCCTTCATAAGTCCATTCCATCACAAGAATCCATTATATTAAAAGGATTGGGATAACTTGTAAAGGTGATGGACTTCACTGAATATACATTGCTCTGTATCTGCACATCTGTACCCCTTTTATTTTGTCAACTGAGGGTTGTGTTCCTGCATTCTGGTGTTTTTTGATATGGTTGACTGACTAATCAATAAACTTTAACTAATTAACAATGTATTCTCTGGAATTTGGATGCACAAGCCCAGAGGACTTCAGAACCTCCTAGACTAAACACATAAATCTCATTTAGGGCTTATGGAGTTGAACGAGCCTCTTTAAAAAGTTTATAGGTTGTCATCTTCAGCTCTCTCAGTTACAATGTGCAAGTCCTGATTTCCCCAGTGCAACCTTTGGTGGAAAAATCACTTTGCAAATATCTCTATTTATGTAGCCCCACAGTGAAGGAACATTGGGAGTCAGATCACATTTTATTTAACTTAAGAATTTATATGCTACCCTTCGATAAACAGTATTTTCAGGGTGGCTTATAAATAAAATACAAAGTAAAATACATAATTAACCAACAATGAAATCCAAGGACATGAAAGAAAACACATCAAGGGCAGAAGTGACAGTCAAGCATAATATTCAAGCATATTTTAGAGGGGAAAATATTTCAGTTTGATCTCTGACCGTTTCAAATGGATCAACATTTCAAGGTGAATTCAGAGGCCACGTGGTTATTATAACATTTGAACCCCAGAGTTGATGGCTGAAGGGCTTTATGATTATTAGGGACCAACAGCATCATTGTGGTGGTGGGGGAGGAATTGGGCCAAGGCAGAGGCTGTTGCTGTCCCCAAGTGACTGAATAGCAGCTCCTAAAAGAGCTATTTCAGAGGTGGGGAGAAGCTGGGGGAAAAGTTGGGGGAAACCCCTCTCTTTGGCAGAAGGATTTTTGTAGAATTTTCACTCTCACCAGTGAGATCCAGCATGATTTTGGATAAGTGGGGAATCAGCCAGACTGTTCTTCAGCCTACTTAAGATTCTTCTGTAAATCTACCAGATCGATGGATTGGGGCTGGGAGGGGGGACCTTGCCTGCCAATTCCCTGTAGAAAAACATCGGATTACTGTTTATCTAACGGTACTTAAAGCACAATATATTTCTATGATGTAACTCTCTCTAAGACAGACCTGAGTATCGTGCCAATGGTTTTCTTGAGACCATTGTTTTCACATAGGACCGGCTGCATATAGAAACCTTTGAATCGATGGGATTTGGGAAATGCCAGAATTACCGTAAGTTTTCAGCTCATTTATATCTTCTAATAAAACTGTGTTCCAGGCAGTCTAGGCATCTGCTGCCTATTACAAACGTTGCTGAAAACTGCCTGAAGATGAAAAGAAATAGATATAAATATGCATTTATATCTATTTATCTCAGATAAATAGCATAGATTATTCTGATGCACGTTCAATAGGCATCAGAAATATCATTTCGCATCAATGGATATGGCTCCCCGTGCATTTTGAGGAACACTTTCAACAACACCAGTAGGCCACTAAGGTTTATAAACAACGACAGCAGCAGCAGTAACAACTCAGCTTGAACTTACCAGCAACATTGCAGAAGTCCCATTTGGCCTGGATAGGTGGATAGACATCTCAGGAAACATTCGGTCAATGCGGTTGATCACGTCATCTATATAGCTACAAAGCAAGACACATATTACAATGACTAAACAATTTGCATTATACATAAAAGAAAAAGTCAGCCGGGGATCAATTCAGAATTATTCAGTGGGGGAACTTGGGCTCTTTCTGAGGGTTGTGAAAAATGCAACTATTAGCACCCAATGGGGTGATCCCCATCCAGAGCTCCACAATTTAAGTTGGTATCCTTTCAAACAAAATGGCTTTGTAATGTGGTAGAAATTTACTTCCTTAGCATGCTTTGCATTAACATGCAGATTATTCAAACATATATTTTGAGAACCTCAGCTGGAAGATATTTCACCATCTGTCCCATCAGCAGAGACAGAATGTCAACTAAGAGATGTAAGTGAAAATAAGGATTTAGAAAGATTACTTAGTAGTCAGCTTGGAGCACGGTCCTCCAGGGGCAGTGGACCAAGAAAACACGTACTGTCGCTAGCCTACATTTTGGTGTTTATTTAAAGAGCTGGAAAGTTTATCCAGCAATCATAACAGCATTCTTAGGGACTCACCCAGCCAATTATGCCCTTCAAAAACAGAAAGACCCCAGGAGGAGTGTGGGGTAGGAGAGTAGACCTATCAATCAATTACAAAAAGAAAAAAGAAAAAACCAGCCAGAAATTTAAGTTAATTAAAATTACAGCTAACAAGGGGAAGAAAGATTTGATAGCCATCTCCCACAGCTTTTGCCAAAGAAAAAAGAAAGGTTTGACATACTATTGCATTTAGACGGACAGCTTTACTCGGAGGGAACAGAATGTGTTGCTCAAGGCCCGCGTTAGACTTCGATGCAGATTTTCTGAAAGCATCGATTCATCTGTGCAGAAAGATTCGTAATCCTTCGTAGGGACAACTGTGTAACGCCGCGTATACAGCAGCCTCTACATCCCTAAATTGATTGCAGGAAAGCAACACATTCTCTACGTTGATGGTTTTCAGTTCTACACTGGACAGATGGCTCTGTTCTCAAGCCTGACCTGTTTTAAAAGCTGGACCCCGTCCAGCGATCTAGTGTTAGCGTTATGTTTAGCAGCCCAGGCGCCGCTGAAAGCTCATTTCTCCCACACGGTTTGTAAGATACATGCTGTTCATTTTTCAACTCCATGCATGATGCTCAGAAGCCCCCCCCCAAAAAACACAACAATATAAACTCAACTCCTGATTTTTCAGAAAGGTAGAGAAAAAGGCAAAGAAGGAGGAAACTGATGTGGGAGAACCGTAGCTCTCATCCTCCCCTCTTGAGCAATTCTTTGTTAATTAAAAGAACAAAAATGTGAAAAAGTACCACGGAGCATGGTGCTGCTTGGAATGCAACCAGAATATTTGGCAGAGAGTGACAATTATTTAAAAGCACATATTCTGGTATATCTTTTTAAATAGATAGAGGGCCCTTGTATTGCTTGGGCCAAAAGAATGTTTGCAATTATTTTTCACCCCCAATTCTATTCCAAAAATTGAGAACACTAGAATCTCAGAAGGAAGACCACATATATCCGAGGCCAAATTTGCTCAGTGCATTCGGGTCATCACTTCTGAACAGCATTTGTGTACTACTTCTTAGCATAAAAATGGTCCAGGCGGTTTCAAAGAGTTTGAAACAGGACCACCAAATACATGATGATGATGATTATATTATGGTGCTGGTGGTTGTTATCCAAAACACAAAAATGTTACTGGCTGGAAAAGGCTGTTATTAAAAGATTGAAGGCATTATGGAATCTGAAGCATGGCTTCACTATTTGAGACCATCTTCCCCAACCTGTTGACTCTTTCCACATGTGCTTGTCATGCTAACTACAGATGATGGAAACTGAAGTCCAACAATATATATTTATGGTTTTAATGTTTTGCGTGAGCCACCCAGAGTCCCCCATTGGGGGAGATGGGCGGGGAGAAATTTAATAAATAAATAAAATAAAAAATTGAATATGCCTGAAGAGCATCAAGTTAGGGAACAATAACTTGGTCCTTGGAGAAGGCAGATTTTTTTTTCATTCTTTGCAGAGAATCAGCTGGGGATGACCAGACTTGACTGTTGCATTTAGCCAAGTAATAGTCAGGTTACAGATTTCCCAAAACAGAGGAGACAGAGATGTTAACATGAGCACCTCCTTTTAAAAATGGACCACCAAACCATCATGATTCTAGTTGGGTAGACGGATGAGCTTATTCATGTTTATCCAAACCATGCTTGTTCAACAAGCACAAACATGTCATATACGTGCCTCTTATTTTTCTCCAGTGGCGAGAATTAACAGTATTTATAAAGCGGCTATCTCCACTACCTCTTGAGAAGAGAGAGTTTGTCATTAGAGAGTTGAGCAGGTCAACCAACTGTCACATGCCAAAACCCTGCTCCAAATGCTGGAATGAGCCAAGAATGATTTGGGTCGTCTGCATCCGAAGCACCACTCTCAATTCCGGCTTTCCTTTACAAAATGGGATGTCTATTTTTTTCCACCAGCTCCACCTTCCAGATTTGGTTTGTGTTCACTAGGATAAACCAACTCTGGAACTAAGTGGGGGAAGAGGGGCAGACATTTTTGGTGGAAGTTGGCATGTCTAAAAGCAAGTGCGGTCTGGACCAAATTATTGGCATGAGAATGGCAAGACTTCTCCCTACATAAAGAAACATAATGGTGGAATTCTATGAATTGCCAAGGTGAACAAGGGATGGATTTTTCAGAAGACCATCATGGAAACCCAACCAGACTGGCATAAAGCTGACTTCTAAGCTCCCTGAAATTAAGAATCCAAGTCTCCAATATCTGCAGTGAAAGAATCTAAGATAATTGGGGATGGAGAGAAGAACTGGTTGTTGACCTTCAGAAAATTGCTTTGAAGAAGGTCCCATGTTTTGTAGTTAGGGACTCTTGTTTAAAGGTTTTAGGGTAAAGCTTAGGGTTACCCCTACAGCTTCATGGGACATTACTGCCATGTGAAAATTCATTGAGCTGGTCCAGCTTGGCATACCCTCAAGATGCATCGGATGACAATGTCTCTCATCTTCAGCCAACATGTAATGAGGATGAGAGCTATCGCTGGAGTGCACCTAGATGGGAAATGCTGGCCTAGCTAGCCATGCATTCAAAGTCACAATTAAATATTCCAAAAATACTTGGATCCCAAACGCTTTTCCATTTATCACAAAAGGTACTCATGTTATTGCTCAGGTAAGGTAGGCAGAGGGGGAAAACAGAGATCTCAGACATTATTGAGGAGAGAAGTTTAGAGAGAAAATATTATGCAGGACATTAAACTGAGATGCTGATCTGCAAAGCTAACCTACCATAATTTGCTCAGAGGTAAATGATTAGTTAGGTAGATTTTCTCTGTAGAGTTTGAACACACAGGCCCCATTCTAAGAACCTCCCTAATTTATTCCAAAATAGTGGAAAACAGAAATATCAAAATGACAGCACCACGGAACAGGCCCCAGGGAGTACAAAGTCCTTCATACCATTTTCTTAAAGGTAGAAAAATTAAACTAGTCTGTCTGAACTTATCAAAACAAAGGTGTCAGATTTTAAGTACTTCCACTAAGCGGTTGTCGCACATTTTGTGGAAGATGATTTTTTTCCTGACAAACGGCTAAAAAAAACCCCCTAAACAAGTTACTTGTAGAGACTAAAGCAACACAAGATTTCTAAATCGGGTTACATAACAAACGACAAAATTATCTGTTTCAGATTTTTCAAACTGTTTGATCTCCTCCCCAACCTCCAATATACAAATCTTAATTATAGAAAGGGATCATGTTGTTCAACCCACCCAACTATTTACAGTAAAGGGGAGGGGGGTGTACAAGGAAGACATGGCCATGTGAAAATGTTCCAACAGAATATGATTAAAAACCCACTTTATTTATTTCACTAAAGCAGGTGTTTTTTAAATTATTATTTAGGCAATTTCTCCCTTGCTTTTCAAGAGAGCCAAGTTGCATGGCCAACATTTAAATGGCAAATCACGGCAGATCAGTCCAATTTTCTATTGGAAAATAAAACGAGGGGGCTGGGTTTGAACTACCCACCACGACCGGCTCGATCAATAACGTGTGATTCAGAAACGCTACGCACGCTCGGCCTTTCAGTTCTGTGTTTTGTTTGATTCCGAGTTACTATGGATGGCATTACTATGGACGTTTTAATATTTAATGTTGCAATTACAAGAGCAGTTGCTGTTTAATATTTATTGTGGATTGGGCTCGGCTTCACATGCTTTGCGGCAACGGATTTCTTAATTATTATTATTATCGTGAGCGGCTGCAAGTCTGTTTGGTTCGGTGAGATAACAATTAATTAATTAAACCAGCCCATTTTGTAATATGATTTTACACGTTTGCGGCCTGGTCTGTTATATGAACCGTCTCGCTGTGCTTCGTTAAAACGGCCTTCGAGTTTAACATGTATATAAACCTAGCCAAACAACATCACGCCTGCAACTAGCTTAATGCCCCTATAATTTATTTATTTTTAAGTCAAATGTCACTGCAATCACAGATCAAGAAAGCATGAATCTGCTCTGCAGCCATCACTGGAAACTCATCTGACCGTGCAAAACATTTTCAGCGCATTGACTGAAAACTGACACTAATTCCTTTAGAGAAAGAACTTGAAAAAGGAACGTGTCCAATGCTAGACTGTCAAAATGGGATTTTAGGAGAACAGACCATCATGCTGAGATTCGTGGTATATTAAACTGCCTGTTTCTTGAAGTAGGCTGTGTTTACAGTTAACAATATATTTTTGGCAGCAGTCACTCATGTCATGGAAATACAGGGGAAAAGGCAATTAATAAGTATTTTAGCTACGTCTTTTAGAAAGCATCCATGTGGCAGGAAGGTGGATATTTGCTTTAAATGGATTAGAGGACAAATATTGGTACAGGAATATTTTAAACATATCGTCCAACAAGAACAATTTAATACTTCTTTTGCAGCTATTTAATTCCAACTAGCTTAAATATTCAGAATGTTACCCAACACTAAAAAGACA